AAATATATTATTTATTAATAATTTTTTTACATTATTATTAATCTTTAAATTTTTAATATAATTATTTAATATTACTTTAAATTTAATTTTTTTATTTTTATTAATTATATTATTTTTTTATTTATTAATTTATTTAATAATATACTTAACATATTTATTAATATTAACATAATTAAATAAATTAAATACCATACATTAAAAATTAAAATTAAAATTATAATATAATTACTTTATTTATTAAACTTTATTATTTATTTAAAATATTTAACAAATTTGTATAAATTTTATAATTTAATTTTAAATTAATACTTTATTAAAAACATTTTATGTAATATATTTTAATATTTGTAATATTTTTCATATTTTACCAAAAATTATTTTAAATTTATTAAAAAGTTTATTTAAAGTATATTTATTATTTATAAACATTATGTTTTAGTTAATTTGTAAAAATATTTTAATATATTAATTTTAAGTTTTTTTTCGGTATAATTTATATATATAATTAATAATGGCTTTTTTACAAACTTTATTTATTTTTACTTATTACATTACGTTAATAAATAAATTTATATTGTAAAAAGTAATATTTTTTTTAATAATAATTATATTTTTTATTTTATATAATTTATTTAAATTAAAATAAAATACTTTTATATTTTTTACTTTAAAACCGTTTAATTAAAATTTTTGTTCGGTTATAATTTATTATTTATGTTAATTATTATATATTTCTATAAAAAATTTATTAATTATAATTAATATTAAGCCAAAATTTATTTAAAATATAATTATTTATTTAACAATTTACCGTCATTTTTTTTTGTTAACGTTCGGTAATGTTAATAAAACGGGTAATTAGTTTTAATTTTTGTTACCGTTATTATTTAATTTTATATCCCCTATTATATTATATATAAATAAAAATAATAATATGATTAATAAATTGTAATATAATAAAATTAATAAATTAACTTAATCTAATTAATTTAGTTATAATAATAATTGGAAAAGTTAATTTTTATTAAATATTATAATTTTTTAATTTAATACCTTTTAATAATATATTTGATATAATTATTATATTTTAATTTTTAATAAAGTTAGAAATTTTAATAAAATTTTATTTTATAAATCTTATAATAATTATTGTTTTTAAATTTATATTTATTTAATTAATTTTAATAATATATTTATTAATATTAATTAATTTATAAATTATAATATTTATAATATATAAGGTTATTTATTAACGTTATTAAACAATCCGTTTGGTAAAAATAAATTATATATATATATTATAAACAATATTAAATTATTGGCCAATATTATAATAAAATTAATAATTAATAATATAAAAAATGTTATTATTATTAATAAAAGTTTAACAATTAATTTAATATTTATTTTATTATTATTTTAAAAAATTCTTGTAAATATAAATTTAATTAATAATGTTATTATTTAAAATAATATTTACGTTAAAACTGGTAGTTATTATATTAATGTATATAATTTCGAAGATTTTTATAATTAAAAATTATCTTTTAATTAATATTTAAAATTAAATAAAATTATTTATAATTTTATTAATATTAGTTTAATAATTTAAAATTATGTTTATAAATTAATTAAATTTTATAAAAGTTAAAATACTTTTATAAGTAATAATAAAATTATTTTTAATAAAAATATAATTTTAATTAATTGTATTAAAATTTTTAACATTAATAATAAGATTTTTAATAATAACGATAAGATTTTTAATGTTAATTATAAGATTTTTATTAACGGTAATAATATTATTAATAATGTTGGAATTTTTAGTAATAATAATAATACTTTAATTGGTAATATAATTAATTTGTTTGTTAATGTTAATATTATGTTTAATATATAATTTTATATAAAATCAAATGTTTTATAAAATTTATATAAATTAATAATTTATTTAAAATTATAATTTTTTAAAAATTTAATAAAGTTTTATATTTAATAACTTTATAAAAATTATTAAAAACGTTATTATTTAAAATGTTAAAAGTTTTTTACGTATAAAAAAATTTATTATATATTATTTTATAATAGTTTTTATATTGCTAAAAGAAATAAGTTTTTTTTTAAAAAAGTTATTATTTTAAAAACGTTATTTATATTTTTACTTATTCTTTAATTAAGGTATAAAGTAATTAAGGCGGGATTTTTATAAAAGGTTTTTAAAATCTTTAAAAAAGTATAATATATTTTTTTAACTTAATCGAAAAAGTAATTTAAAGGTTAATTTAATTAAAATAAAAAAATTATATAAAAAAAGTAAAAATAATGTAAAAATAAATTAATTTTAACTTTAATCGAAAATTTAATCGGGAATAATTGGTAATTATATAAATATAAATTATAAAATTTAAAAATATTAAAAGATTTAAAAATATCGTTTAATAAATGATTATATTATATTTATTGTTTTTTGGTTATTTGATAAAGTTATGGTATATTTTTAATAATATTAAAATATTATATAAAAGTTTCGGTATTAATAATATAATTTTTAAAAGGGTGGGTTCGATGGTTTTTTATGTTTTAACCGTTATAACAAATAGATTTAAAAAATAATAAAAGGAAAAATAAAAAAATAATATGATATTTTTTATTAAATGTAAAGTATTACATTAATAGCTTAAAAGTTATTTGTTAAAATAAAGCTATTAATTGTAAGGTTTTATTTAATATAAAACTTAATAAATTAAAAAAAAAAAGAGAAAATTTTTCTTGTAAATTATTTTAATAATGTGGTTAACATATAAATAAAATAAATATAGTAATTTATTTAATAGCTTATATAAGCTATTATAATAATGATATTTATCAGTTTTATAAAATTTATATAAATTAATAATTTATTTAAAATTATAATTTTTTAAAAGTTTAATAAAATTTTATATTTAATAATTATATAAAAATTATTAAAAACGTTATTATTTAAAATATTAAAAGTTTTTTACATATAAAAAATTTTATTATATATTATTTTATAATAGTTTTTATATTATTAAAAAAAATAAGTTTTTTTTTAAAAAAGTTATTATTTTAAAAACGTTATTTATATTTTTATTTATTTTTTAATTAAGGTATAAAATAATTAAAATGGGATTTTTATAAAAGGTATTTAAAAATTTTAAAAAAGTATGGTATATTTTTTTAATTTAATTAAAAAAGTAATTTTTTAATTAAAATAAAAATATTATATAATAAAAATAAAAATAATGTAAAATGGATTAATTTTAACTTTAATTAAAAATTTAATTAAGTATAATTAATAATTATATAAATGTAAATTATAAGATTTAAAAGTATTAAAAAATTCGAAAATATTATTTAATAAATGATTATATTATATTTTGTTATTTTTTAATTATTTAATAAAGTTATAATATATTTTTAATGGTATTAAAATATTGTATAAAAGTTTTGGCATTAATAATATAATTTTCGAAAAAGTAAATTTGTAATAATTTTTCGTATTTTAACCGTTATAACGGGTAAATTTAAAAAATAATAAAAAAAAAAATAAAAAAATAATATAATATTTTTTATTAAATATAAAATATTGTATTAATGGTTTAAAAGTTATTTATTAAAGTGGAGTTATTAATTGTAAAAGTTTTATTTAATATAAAATTTAATAAATTAAAAAAAAAAAAAAATTTTTTTTTAAATTATTTTAATAATATAATTAATGTATAAATAAAATAAATATGGTAATTTATTTAATAATTTATATAAATTTATATAATAATAATGTTTATTAAACATAAAACGTTATTAACTTTATTTATTAAATTATACGTTAATTAAAAAATAAATAAAAATGTAAAGTTAAAAAATTAAATTTAAAATTTAAATGTAATTAAAATAATTTTAAGGTTATAATATAATTAAACAATTACGTAAAAATTATTATATAAATTTAAACTATTATATAATTTAAAAAGTTATTTTTTATATTAATTAAATTAAAAACAAATATTTTAATAAAATATCATTACGTAAAAATAATCACGTGGTGACACGTGATTAATCCCCACACAAAAGGCAATTTTTTTTAAATAACACTTACACACATAATTCGTAACTTTTATAACATTAATTAATTAATATAATAACAATCATCGTAATAACTTTATTTTGTATTTTTTCCTTTTTTTTTTTTTTTTATTCGTTACGTTATTTTTTTCTATTACTTAATCCGTACAAATACTTAATTTTACTTACATATTTTTATAATATTAAATTTTAATTTTATAATTTTTTATAAAATAAATTTAAATAAAATTTAATAAATAAATAAATTTTATAAAAATATATATATAAATTATATATTAAATTTAATAAAAATTAAACTTTTAACATTATATTTTAAACGTTTTTTAATTTACTAACATTGTATTAACCATTTATTAAATTAAAAGTTAAATAATGGATCGTTTATTAAACTTAAGTGGCTTACTTAAGTAAATACTTAAGTGCCACTATATTTATAGCGATATCAACCACTATAGCTTAAAAAAAACCGTGCAATTTTTGTTTACTCGCACATAGCTTTGCCAAGTTCAAATGTGCAAGACTTTTGGCCCGGGCCTTCGTACGTACTGCTGATTGCTGAGCCGCTTACCTATATCTAAGGTAGGTATATCAAAGTTGGGAAATCTTTAATTCTAGCCAGTTGATCGTCCCAGGCTCATTATACCCCCGCATCTGGTATTTTCCTCTAAAAAGAACCAATTCGTAAAGCACTGCCTACCTCCTAGGTATACATGTAGGTGCCTAACGAGATTGTAGGTATGTAGAATATCTAAACCTCTTTAACATTGGTGCAATCATTAGTTACTCCTTATTCTATACCTTTAAGTTAGTGGCTAGTAAATAGCCCGCCCACCCAGCCACCATATACTCCTTTAAATCACCCAGAGTTGAAGTTACTAGACTCCATACAACTCGCGATGGCTCAATGGGAGAATATTCCCCATAGGTTCGTTCCTTATAAATACCTGTTAGTATTCAAGTCCCGTATTTTATCATTACCTGTCAATCCAACGGGTTATTCCATAATGTTCAAGTATAGTTCGAAATTCATAGTCTTGTTTATATTCAGCAATAAACGCATAGGTCAATCCTAGATACTGACTTTCATATATTTGGGAAGCCCTCTTTCTTCGAACGCCCATACGCGAATTATTAAACTACATCCTTCCTTGGACCCGTTGGCGCCTATCCGGTGCTCACTATTCGAAATCAATCTAGACCATGAGAAGTCCGAATATGATGCCTTGTCGTACACATGGGGAATCCCAAGCTTCACAGAGGAACTTATTGTTGATCAGTGTTATTTGATGATCACGCCAAATCTCATGTATGCTTTGCAGCGGTTCCCAATGCCGACCGAGAATCGTATGATTTGGGTTGACGCAATCTGTATCAACCAAGAAGATAATGACGAAAAGTCAAGACAGATACCTTTCATGAGGCAGATATATCGTAGCGCATCATCAGTACTTGTTTGGTTGGGCATTGATGAAAGTGGTTCTGACTCCCTGCGCCGACTTCATCATTATACGAAGCAATCTGGGTCAAGCGTCTCTACGGCAGAGATTACCCGAGAACTAGGTAACATCACCGGGCTACCGTGGTTTCATCGGCGTTGGATAATCCAAGAGGTGGTTTTAAACCCCAATGTCCTTCTTAATTGTGCGGATGTGAGTATGCCATGGGTGCGGCTTGTCCAAGCCCTGAGCACGGGAATAGCCACGGAAGTCATGAGCTCCCTAGTAACGATGACGGACCTTTGGAAGGACTGGATACTCCGGAAAGATGATGCACAACCCCACCTGTTCAATCTTCTTGCTTTATTTCACGGCTCCGAATGTCAAGATGCTAGGGACATGATATACGCCTTGGCCGGACTGGCAAGTGATGTGCAATTGAGAGACAATAGCGATAGAAAGGAAAGGTCCAAAGAGACGGAAGAGAGGGGCATAGAGAAGGATACTGGGAATCATGGGAGAACTGTGATACCTGTTGACTATACCATCTCCGCTGAATGCCTTTACTATGAAGTCGTGGTTGGATTGCTTGAGTCCTTGACTCTGGGACCTTAGGGACTGTTGATCTCTTAGCTCAGTGCGCCATCAGGCAGACAGCTGATCAATCAGACCAGATGCCATCGTGGGTTCCTGATTGGAGGAAACCCAAAATTAGAGAGCCGCTTTGGTTTTCCCCTTCTGATATCCAAGGCTATTTGGAGCCTCATAACCGGTCAATACTGACAATCAATTCATCGAGCATCCATCTACTGGGTAAAGTGACTAATAACAGCGTTAGCGCTATTTTCCCTGACATATATGTCGAATCCGAGATTCATAAATGGTTTTTGGACACATGGGCAAGCTTGTCTGAGCTACAACCGTCCCAAGATAATGCGCACCAACATCAACCTAGCGAATATATCCTAGCTCGTTTAGTCAATACCGTTTTAAACGAAAAAACACCATATGGACATAACGGGCTGACAAGTTTCAACATGGAAGGCTTTCATAAATCATGGGTCGAGTATCGAGGGTATCTGCAAAAGGTCTGTGAGGACATACAACAAGGGACAATAAACCCAGAGTTCTACAAATATACTTGGAACTATATGAAAGGCCGCACTATCTTCATTTGGCAAGACGCCGCTAAGTCTCAGCCACAATACGGGTTTGGACCCTCTCATACCCAACCAGGAGACACGATACTTGCTCCGGGGTCCTCCACTTTCCAGGCATTTTTCAACACTGGCATGCGACCATTGAATACCAATAGGTCGTCTTTCCTGCTTAGGCGGTCTTCCGGCAAATTCGATTCGACAGATCGTGTGCTGCCGGGGAACTTTCGATTAGTTGGGGACTGTCAGGTTATGCTATACTCTGGGCGTACTATCCACGACTTGACTAAGGAATCTGATGATTATGCGCCTTTAGGTTTCTCTTGGTTTCAACAACTCTCTATATCGTAGTATATACTCCTTTATACTCCTTTGACTGGGTTGTATATTCCGTTTGTTCCATCCGTTAATTAATTAGACTCGATAGTTGAATACATATACGTCTTAATATTTCTCTCTGAGGTGGCACCAGCCAGCATCCCTGAGCAGGTGAGGTAGGGCTGGCAGGGTATTCTCAATCTTGGTTAGTTCGGAAACTTCGGAAGTCCTACCCCAGTTTTATAAGGATTTATTCGCTGGTTTATCTCCGCTACTTCGATCGACATCGCCAAGAATGTTGCCTTATCGTAGCCTACCTGCCTGCCTGCTAGCCTGCCTACGTCCCCTCACAGGTGCATACTATACTATGTACGGCACAGACAAAAGCTAGTTCGGAATACTCCGCCATACTGTCGGCTGCCTCATGCTTATATGTAGGACTACCTGTTATCGTCTAAGAGATGCATTTTCTTACTTTCGACGGATCCTAATGGAGTTTCTTGATTGGATCGAACCTCGCATTGATCGTCTCCGCCAGGTTGTTTTTCGAAGTGACTCAGCCCTCCGGCGGCTGAGCCAGGGACCCATTAGGCTATCTCTGCCTTAATGTCCACTATTTATCGTCTACCTGAAGCGATTGGGTAGTTAATGCATATGCATCATCCAATGGTGACGGGAAGTTGTAAGAAGGATGAGCTACTGTTGGCGATGGCCTAGAATGAGGAAACGATACACAAGATATGCAGCTGCTCAAGCTTAATCGACCAGGCAGCTACTGCTTCTAGGAGTGTATCCCGGTTCCCCTTTTCTGTCTACCTAGGTAGGTAGGTATAACTATATATATTGCCATTTACCTTTGTCTTCTCAATCTTGTCTCCTGTAGCTATACTTTCTCTTTTAACTATTACAGGACAATTTCCACATAAGCACTTAGATATTACCGTCGAAACTTGACTAGAGACACTCACAATGGCTCCTAGAAAGAATCTCGATTCCAAGTCTAAGCGCTCCACGCAGCGTTCGCGGCACTACCGTGAAAATGATCCATCATTTCTAGCTGCGCAGAGGGAGGCAGAGCGGCGTGAACAGATTCTGGCCGATAGTCGCCGCGTTGAAGCCAAATGGCGACCTAAGATTCCCGAAGTACGCAGGCTCAACTTTGAAAACTTCAAGAATCGATTCCACGATATTGATGAGCCCGACTATGCCATCGAAGTCCTTATGGCTGGGTCTTATTTGCAGGCCCAGGTCCGCCGTGAGCAGGCTCTCCGACGAAAGGAGGACCATGCTCGTACTCGTCAGCACATGTTACTTGCTTACGGTCTTCCTCGCGAGCAAGTGTATACTTCACGACCGAAGACTGGCGCCTCAGAGAAGGTGAAGAGAGACAGGAAAGCAGAGAGTGCTCAGATGAACGAGGGCGAGATGCAACGCATTCGCATTCAATCACAGCCTGTCCTAGGACATCTCACATCTCTTCTAAAGGATACCGAGCTGAGATCTACACCCCGCACTTTCGTCAGGCCTTTCAAGGCTTTAGTGTATTTTCAGCCCAAAATGAAAGAGATCCTCGCCACTCTGGAAGAGAAGTGGGCTGATTATGAGGAGATTGACGACATCGAATCCGATGAACTCCCAGATATTCCTGACGTGGAGAGCATTAAGTCCAAGACGAAGGACTCGGGCTCCGAGGCTGGCGATGATGATGATGACGACAAAGAGTCTCTCCTTTCAGTTGACTCGAACGCTGAGGACTTAGACACCATTATGGACAGCCCCGAGGCTCTCAGGGATATGCGATGCTACGTCAACTTTATCGACAAGGAGGTAATGCCTCAGCACAGCCGCTTTTCCGAAAGTGCAACCGACAAGGTCAAGTTTGAGGATCTGTGGTCTCTCTTCCGTCCCGGGGACCTTATTTACATGCCAGCAGCCGGGGAGACAGCAGGCCGCTATCATGAGGTCTGGCGCATTTACCGGACAGAGACGCCTGAAGTGGAAGCGTCCTATCCCTCAAAATTAGAATGGGAATTCTTCCCGGACGAGTTGCAGCAGGACAAGAAGGATAAGTTCAACATCTACGCCTACTACATCGACCACGACGGTGATTCCTTCGGCGCTGTGCGTCACACATTCGAAATCGAGTCTTTCGTTGGCGAGAGGCTTGTCGAGTCTCTCGAGGTCTTTCCCATTCGCTACCGGCAGGATCACCAACAACTCTTAGATTCTCTCAAGAAGCAGGGAAAAGATTTCCAGAGATACCTTGGTGACAGGCATCAATCATACCATGCTTGGACTTTGACAAGGAACCCGCCCTTTGACACTACTGAGGCGAATGACGAGGTCTTGGAGAACGAAACCTATGATAAGATGCGTCATCCCGAATTTGTCGAGAGCGACGTTATCGTTGATCTCCAAGAGGCGTACCAGAAGCATGGTGGATGGCGACCTTCCTTCCATCGATTGACTGTAAACAAGTCTATCGCATGTGAAGTTGAGGACGACGGAATGGGCATTCAACAGTGGTTTGACGCCTCACGAACGAACCTTGCATATTCACAGAGCGAAATTGTCCAGAAGCGGGAGGGTGTTGAACTATGGCAGCGTCGCGAGAATCTCAATATCGATACATTCTTACGCCAACGGACGAAGGGCAGCCGCACGCACGAGATGAACCCGGAGGCTCTAGAGCTACGCGAGGAAGACCTTGTTCTCCTCCCCAAGCGTATGTTCGCATACGCCTTACGCGAGCGCAGATTCGTGCCCGTCAACATTCAGTTCCTGAAACCTATCCGTAGGGAGCAGGGCGTATTCGAGAACCTCAAGATCTTAAAGGATTACAAGGATATTGTGCGAGGTCTTGTCGCTTCCCACTTCCAGAAAAAGAGCCTCGAGCGACGGTACGTCGATATGTCCACCGAAGGACCGGGCCAGGATCTGATCCAGAATAAGGGTCGTGGTCTGGTTGTTTTACTTCACGGTGTTCCCGGTGTAGGTAAAACCGCGACGGCTGAGGCAGTGGCTATGGAGTACCGCAAGCCTCTGTTCGTCATTACCTGTGGTGATCTTGGTCTTACTCCATCCGAAGTCGAGTATTCACTGAATAACGTCTTCCGTCTGGCGAACCTGTGGGATTGCGTCCTCTTGCTTGACGAAGCCGACGTGTTCCTTTCGCAGCGTTCAAAGGTCGACATGAAGCGCAACGCATTAGTTTCGGTCTTCCTACGTGTCCTTGAGTACTACAATGGATTACTCTTCCTCACAACCAACCGAGTGAACACCATCGACGAAGCATTCAAGTCACGTATCCACATGTCGCTGTACTACCCGCCACTTGACAAGACCCAGACTCAGGACATCTTCCGACTCAACCTCGCCAAGCTACGCGAGATCGAAGCGCAGCGACACGCCATGACAGGCGAGCCCGCACTCGTCATCAAGGACCGCGAGATTATCGACTTTGCCGGAAAGCACTACGAAGACAACGCCCGGTCTACTGGCTGCTGGAACGGTCGCCAGATCCGCAATGCTTTCCAGATTGCTTCGAGTCTGGCGCATCACAACTATACTATCGCGACCGAGGCGGCACGAGCAAATGGCCAACAACCCCCTATGGCGCCGATGTTAGACCGTAGCTTGTTCGACAAGGTGCAAATGTCAACTCTGAGCTTCGATCACCACATGAAGGAGTCCAAGGGATTCGATTCTGAGCTACCCCTGAGGAATACCTTTTACGAGGAGGGACGATTCGAGTAATGTTAGATGTTCTTGTTGTAGGTTACGGCCGGGGTCGTTAGGGGAGGGTGCAGATTAGACCAAGTTCATGCATTAGGTAGCCAATACACCACTTTTATAGAAGTTATTTTATTCAATTCCACGTCTCTATTATAAGAGGAGAGATGTAACTGATGTAGCTTGTCGCTATTGCTAAAATAATCGAAGTAGTATATCGTAGATCATCATATTCCTAGTACAAGGGCAACGAGTTGTAAGTACCTTAGCACCTAACCCTCTCGCCTACCCAGTTTCGTTATTGGTTACATTCAACTGTGATATCAGTCTTGATCGTAGTCTGAACAGTCAACCTACGGCTCGTGTAAGAACTGGTTGAACCAGTTAACAGCGTCATTCTTTGCCCTAACCATTGCTAGTAGCTCGCCTGGTTCCTTATCGCTACCCCGAACAAGAGCACCGTGCGCCACGCCCGGATAGTGGCGATAGTCGAACTCGACTCCTAACTTAGAAACTTTGTCGAATGTGTAACTCTTCAGCTCCTCGGAGTACATAAAGTCGTGCTCAGGGGCCAGAAGTTGCACGGGCACCGCGACCTCGTCGATATCCTTCTTAGTTAACAGGGACGGATGTCCAGTTGAGATGCAGTCGACTAGAGGGGGGCTGTGCTCTTTGGCTCCCAGCCGGAATACAGCCCACCCTCCGAAACAATAGCCGATGGCGCCAATTTTCTTGTACTTCTGACGCAGCGCCTTCGCGACGGCAAAGATCTCGGGCTCTCGGGCCTCGCGGGAGTTTCGCACCATAAAGCCTGCGAAGTCGTAACCACTAAAGTCTCCGGATAAGATGGCGGGAGTCGGCTCGATGACCTCACCGCCGAAGAAGTCGGGAAGATAGACAGTCGCGTTGATCTCGCGAGCGAAGTGGTCCGCTAGCAGGCGTAAGTTGGGAAAGGTCCAGCCGAAGACATCGTGGATGAGCAGTATGGCAGCGTCGGCGTTGTCACCCGCGATGTAGGTGTTGATATCAGCGATCTTCCCGGTCTTCCCGCTCGGAGTTCCGCTCCATTCGAAGCCTTTGAGACAGCACTTAGAATACGACATTTCGAAGATCTTGTATGTTGAAGTGTGTGATATTGTAAAAAGGGAGTGGCAGTACGAAGCAACGATTTAGATGTGAAGCTGTTAGACTTAATTATACATCTCTATATACTTCACTCGGACGTAACGGGCTTAAGACCCGGGGAATCTTTTGGTTTGAGTTACATAGTAGAACGTTCCGTACACCACCATCAATTACGACAACCCATCATATATGCTGCATCAGTAACTTTAATCGGTCTTTCGGGTCGCGATGTCCCATACGGTACGTGTGTTTACCTAGGATACTGTGTAGAAGCTCTAGTTTTAGGCCTTGACGGCATAATTTGAAGGATCTGTAAATTCAGCTAGACTGTGGACATGCATCTTCGGTAGGGCGACTAAACGCGAAAATGGTATAGGGGATATATCTCTCTCTAACACGGCGTAGTTGCAAGGCGCGATGACAAATTTTTGAATATATTTTAACTAAATCGGGCGAACAGTCCATCCGTGCGGAGTCACATTTACAGGGGATCGATATGCGGCGACCTCGATAATGATGGGATGCCCCAGTCGATTTTTTTTCTTTTCTTTTCAAGGGATTTGCTTAGACTCAGTTTCCTGCTTTTTATGTTTTCCTTTAATTATGAACGAAACTCATGTATGTGTCCCACTTAGTTATATTAACAAATCAAGGCTTTGAAAAGACTTAAAACAAACCATCTTAGGAAAAGTGCGAGGAGCTCGGCCAATCAGATTTCCAATCAACAATGTCCCTCTTTATGCTATTAAAGGCACATTGGATGCTGGAGATTCTATTAACTAGCTGTTTATGGACTTCGCGTAACTCCGGGGCTAGTGTTAAGACCTTATTTACAACTAATTGATACATCATACAATAGATTCTAAACCAACTAGATTCTTACAGATATTTAATATTTTTCTTGAACCTTTAAATGTCTCTTTGACAACGTAAGATAAGTGTATGTAGTTGAGCTTTTGCACAAGATACTAGTTCGGATAACGTGGTTGCTTGAAAACGTCTTGCAATGAGTTTCGAAGATTGGAGTATTGTAGAACAAGCAAACCTACCTCTTTTTAACACCAACGATAAAACTACTATACAGTGGCCATTAAGAAAAATATATAAAGACCTTGAAAACTTCCATGAGATATAGAGGTTATGTGTCCTCTTCTTAAGAGAAGTATTGATATGTATAATGCATTAGTGCTGGCTTTTGCATCTTCGCGCCGAGGGATATCAGGCAAGTTCAAAATCATACATAAGTACAGGCCTATAAGCATATTCCCCTGCTCTAACCTCACTTTCGGGAGGAACCTCTCTAATTCTAAACCATCGTAGGCAGTTTTTCCTTCTGGTAGGTTCTAACTGAAATTATTCGAATAGCCTTAGTTTCCTTCTGCAATGTTAAGGCTGACGACAGCGATAAGCAAAATACATATCTGAACGACACATTCCGACGCAATTTTATATAAAAGTACCCCAGAGTGTAGAGCCTAACTTCTTTGCTATATTCTTGAAGGCTAAAAAGGGGGCTTTGAAGTTTCCGTGGAACCGCTTGTATTAGGTTGTACTTGGAAGCAAAACTATTCGCATCTAAAGTATTGTGGCAGTTTAACGTAGTTGCATTACAGCCTCATAGTTAAACCCGACATCAGAGCTAGATTTTTGTCGTTATAGTAGGTTACTTGGGGAGTAAATTATGACAGTCGCCCATACATCTAGATGTCTTCGTACCTTATCTTTCATAACAGCCCATGAATAAATCATGCACTCCATAATTCATGCATATATCACGATGCATCTTATGTTGCCTGCAAGCGGCAAGATAATATCTAGAAAGTGCCAAGCTAGTATGGGTCTAGTCTGCCTAGGCTCACCGCCTTGGCAGGTGCACAGGCCACGTTTGGGGCAGTGCAACATCTTATTATTTCAATCCATTAATATTCATTACTACATCATTATTCGTGATGTCGCCCGCATCTTTTTCCCCGATGCTGCGTTATGCATTCACCTGGATCATGAATTCCCAAGCAACGCCTGAAGAATGGCGTTGACGAAATCTGATAATGTCGCTACGATCTATATTGAAGAAGCAGAATGTCAGAATAAGCTCTCTTTGAAAATGCGACGATGGTAAGTGTAAACGGGAATAAAGGAAAACTTACGGGTGTGGCGTCGCCTATTAACTCCGTCGTCTGTGAGACGAATGCAGCTGACAGTAAACTCTCCGCATTTCCGAGTAGGGTTATTATTCCCTTGACGGAAGTTGGTGTAATCAAAGGCGTGACCTGTTCAACAATTCCTTGGATATCAATCTGGCTCAGAGTTCCGAGGAGAGGCTTGACAGCCTTAATGAGACCAGCCAGATCGATTTGACCTAATGAGCTGAGAAGTGGCTTGACTTGGTCCAAGAGACCTCCGATATCGATTTTTCCTAGAGCTCCAACCAACGGCGCTGCGCCGTCGATGATGGTATGAGTTTCGTTGACGAATTCCTTCGTCAAGAGTGACTCGGCGTTATCGACAAGTCCTACAAGACCGTCGACAGAGGACGGCGTGAGTAGAGGGGAGACAGCGTCGAAGATGCCCTTTATATCAACTTCGCCCAATGTGGTTAGAATAGGGGCTATTTGTTTGATTAACCCTGCGAAATCAATTTGACCTAAAGAATCCAAGATGGGTTGTATCTTTTCGATAAGACCAGCTAGATCAATCTGGCCTAAGGAGTTCAGGATCGGGGTGATCTGTTTAATCAGACCCGCGAAGTCGATTTGACCCACAGCATCAAGTATCGGCTGTATCTTGTCTATGAGACCGGATAGATCAATCTGCCCAAGGGAGTTCAGAATTGGCGTGATTTGTTTGACTAATCCCGCGATATCAATCTGGCCTATAGCGTCAAGAATAGGTTGAATCTTCTCGACCAGACCACCCAAGTCAATCTGACTTAGAGAATCTAGTAGTGGTTTCACTTGCTCGATAAGACCCTCTAAGTCAAGCTTGCCGACGGCAGATATCAATGGCACGGCACCAGATATCAACGTCTTCGTCTGATCAACGAATTGTGTCGTCAACAGGTCCTCAGCATTGCCTAAAAGCCCAACGATACCTTTCACTGAGTCGGGCGTCAATAAGGGCTCGACGGCCGAAAGTAGACCTTGGAGATCAATCTTGCTCAGGCTATCGAGTAAGGGCGAAATTTGGCTGAGCAGACCTTTCAGGTCGATATCGCCCAAACTCGAAAGTAAAGGTCCTGCTCCTGCGATGAGAGATTTGGTCTGGTCGACGAATTCGCCAGTCAGCAAGTTCTCGGCGTTGCCCAGTAACCCTATGATACCCTTGACGGAATCTGATGTCAAAAGTGGGCTGATAGCTTCAAACAAGCCCTTCAAGTCAAGTTGACCGAGTTCATTAAGGATTGGCGAGATCTGATCTATCAAGCTTTGCAGGTCGATTTGCTTCAGGCTGTCAAGGAGTGGCCCAGCTCCAGAAATCAGAGACTTGGTCTGGTCGACGAATTCTCCAGTCAGCAAATTCTCAGCATTGCCAAGCAACCCTATGATACCCTTGATAGAGTCTGATGTCAAAAGTGGGCTGATAGCTTCAAACAAGCCCTTCAAGTCAAGTTGACCGAGTTCATTAAGGATTGGCGAGATCTGATCTATCAAGCTTTGTAGATCGATTTGCTTTAGGCTTTCAAGGAGTGGCCCAGCTCCAGAAATCAGAGACTTAGTCTGGTCAACAAAATCTTTGGTAAGAAGAGATTCAGCATTGCCAAGTAGACCGACGATACCCTTGACTGAGTCTGCTGTTAGGAGTGGGGCTATCGCATCGAGTAATCCTTGAAGATCAATATCCTTGAGGCTATCAAGGAGGGGTTGGGCACTGGAAAGCAGCGACTTGAGCGCATCAACAGTATCCGACGTCAAAAGATCTCCAGCATTGTGTAACAAGCTCACTATACCCTTGACTGAATCTGACGTGAGAAGGGGAGATAAGGCATCGAGTATACCCTCAAGGTCAATCTTCGAGAGATGGTCAATCAGTGGCTGTACACTTGATAATATTGACTGTAGAGCCTCGACAGTCTCCGAAGTCAGAAGCTTTTCTGTATTACTCAACAGACTAACGAGGCCCTTGATCGATTCAGGGGCTAGAAGGGGTTGTAGGGCATTGAGTATACCCTTCAAGTCGATGCCCTTAATCTCGTCTACGATACCCTCTAAATCTAAGGAACCGAGCAGGTCGATTAGCGGTTCAGCCTTGGTGAGGACATTCCTAGCGATATTTGGAATGGGCGGACGGAGTGTCTGTGCAAGGTACACCATAGCATCGTGTAGGGCTTGCAAGAACTCATCGCTCAATAGTTGCTGGATAGCCGAAAGATAACCCCCGAGATCGCCCAACTGTGTAATGAGCTTCGTCAGACTTTCAAGAATCTGGCCCAAATCACCGAGCCCTCCAAGGTCTCCGAGGTCAAGACCGCCGCTAGATCCGGAACCAGACCCAGAGTTCGAACCAGAACCAGAACCGGTGCTGTTGCTGTTGCTCTTCTGTCGCGGATATAGTGCGACTTTCTGTTGCTGAACCTGGTTTCTTCTGAGAAGGCCATTAAGCTCTGTCAGGGCGTCTGTCAGATCCGACCGGGGTACTAAAGCTAGGTTGTGCTTTGCGAGAAGTGCATCAAGGTCCAAGTCTGGTGTTGATGCTGCTGGCGGTGCGCTTTCGGCGACAAGGCTGATAGGCGCCAGAGCCGCCAGGAAGAGCTTGAAGAACAACATGACGATAATTGGCTAGTTGTTGGGAGGTTTCTAAGGTGTCGTCCTCTTCTCTTTGACTCGAAGCTGAGGCTCCGATTCAGCTCAACCACGGAATAGGAATCATAACAGACGAGATGGGAAGTTCGAGAATATGAGCAGTATTACATGCTGCCCCCGTTGCCCATCCACTTCATATCACATGGAATCATGTCTTAGCGAGCGATGGAGACTACCCTTCGGACTTTATGCCGTCTTGGGATGTTTACCAAGCTAGTCGTCGCCAGTTTACCCCAGCTACCCCAACTTCTCCACGATCCTAATCCCTACCCGGCGTGGGTTGCATAGGACTAGGGACCCCTTGATTTGTGGACCCAACTCGTCAAGCTTTTCTGGATCACGATTCGACAACTTGGCATTAAGGTAGGGTTATGGTTACAACTTTACGCAATTATGTATGCTCATAGTAACCTCACTTACATGCAAGACACCATGAATCTGACAGTTGCCTAGGCACTTGTTAGATCGCATGTGTAAACACGTCGACTTCACCGTCACTTCTTGTTCTTCCACATCTTCTCTTCAAGACCACCTTGGCTTAAATCAAGGTTTATACATTCAATATATTGAAGAGGAGGGTATAAAGAAATTACCGCCCGTCTTTCTTCTCTGCGCGCGGACACTGGAGCGTATCTGTTTAGAATGGTCTAGTTGAAAAGACAATAAATAATGCAAGTCTTGAGATCGAACAGAATGATGCCAAACCTATTCGCGATTTGGATGCCCAATTGGCAACACGGCAAAGCCGTATATTATTGGATACACTCGGACAGCACGGTCAAGGTGGGAATAGTGGCCATCGAGTCTATTTCCTTATTAGGCAGGCGGAATATAGGATGACATCATTTTAGTGCGGCGGTTTGTGCTGTTTGCGGAGTAAATGAAGATCTACTTAAGAGTAATTAATTGCTGGGACGGCGGGATAGACTAAGCCGAATACCCCGCTGGTCTATCATGTTATAGTCTTCAAATTATATGTGCGTGACCCGCGCAAAACCTGTAATCATCCTGGGAATAGACGAAAGCTGACCATCCCCCTGTAACATTGGATTACAGAAACCAGGGTGTGAACATGAACGGTACAGATGGTATGCGGAGAGATCAACAAGTCGCGAGGGGTAACACGCTGCAAGGCGGTGTTCGATGAGTCTAGCTCTGGTCCGATAGGCATGGTAGAACGGAGCGGGAGCTCATCTGTTTGTAATGCCGCAATGTAACCCGGGGCGGGCTTGGCATACATGTGATGGTTGAATCGTCCTCAAGTTCAGTACATCGCCCTCGTTTCCGCCCGGAAGTTGTTGGGCGCCCGTCTTCTCTCTGCTTGCCATCCATCCAGCATCCTCTGCTGCCGACGACAAGAAGATCATGGCGTCGGCCTTTCGAGAAGACACCTCACATTATGAGCCCAGCAGCCCTACCACCTCTATACATGGCGGTAGGGGTGAGGGCGGTGAAGGGACTACGAATGCTCCGGAGAGGCAGAGTGACGAGACCTCTTCGGCCGATCATGTTACGGAAAAGACACCAGTCGCCGCGCCTCTTACGAAGAAGCAGAAATTCAAACGCCATTGTGGGCGATTCTGGTGGTGGTATCTTATAGGACTGACCATTTTACTCGCTATACTCCTACCAATACTGTACGTATTCTAGCTGGGGAATGAGTATGCATGCGTGCTAACAGTGACCTCAGGTTTCTAGTGATCATTCCAGCTATAGTACAGCGCATATTGGATAACCAGACGATGCCCGTAACTGGGGGTGCATTCGTAGCTATAACACCAGAGAAACTCAATATATCTATCACGACGTCGCTCGACACGCCTCTGCCAGCAGATATAGATCCAGTAACTCTATTCATGTATAATCATGAGACACCCGCGTTTTCACCTTTCGCCAACATCACTCTACCACCACTTCACATAGACGGGGAAACAGAAATAGTTCTTACCGACCAGACAGTCACAATAACCAACGAGACTGAGCTTATTACGTGGTTCGGGAACGTCTTTGACCAGCCGAAGGTCGCTTTATCCACTCGTGGTGATTCTAAGATCCACTTAGGGGCGCTTCATTCAAATGGGCATATAGATAAGACCGTTGAGGTAGACTCCTTGAACAAGCTTAGCGGATTCGCGATCGAACATATGCAGCTTCTCTATCCAGCTCTAGATAATGGGACTAATATCCAGGGTACTCTCAACCTACCAAACTGGGGCGCGCTCACTCTCGGCATCGGTAACCTGTCACTTAATTTAATGGCGGGTGACCTCCGAATTGGTCTAATCACCATTTACGAGGTACTGCTCCCTCCGGGGAATAACTCGAGGTACTTCAACGGCGAGCTATACCTAGACGTTCTCATACAGAACATCGGGACGATACTTTCCACCCAGTCAGACGCGCTGAACGATGGGAACATACAAATTGACGCGGTAGGGAACGCGACTGTTGTCAATGGTCAGCACATCAGGTTCATCGAGGCAGTCCTCAATCATAGGCGCGTGACGTCCACCATACCGGTTACGAAGTTAATGGGCGACCTCGTTAGCAGCTTCACCAATGGTAGTCAAGTCAACATACCCGGCCTACTAGACGATGTATTTGGTAACTCAACACTTATTCAAGAAGTCTTGAGCCACTGGAACACGACGGATAACGATAAAGGGGCGAAGCTGAAGAGATCCTTGCCTTCTGTCAAACGAGGGGTGTTTGGGTCAAGCGCATTAACGTTACTCAAGCTGGGTATGAAGATGAGGATGGGCAAGTACTGAGATGGAATTCTAATAGGTCTAGCTCTGCGTGCTAGGTACTCTTGAACAGTTAGCAATAACTCGGTATGATGATTTAGGTAGTAGTTAATGTCTCATGAATATAATGTCATTCTCAAGGTCCACTGAAGTTACATCATCTGAAGTTGCTGGATACGTCGTTACTCTATAGCGATATCTGATTAGGGAGTAATAATAGTGGTAGAACACTCCAAGCCTATACTACTATTTCTCATCTTACCTAGCATTTCTTTCAAATCTTTGGTTCTAGACAAGGACAGTATATAAGTCAATACACACCTACTCGAGGTACTTAATAATGGTCGCCCGGTGAGTGAAAAGGCCTTCGTTATCTACTGGGGCTTGCCGTTACACCTGGTATGAATTATCAACTTTACTAAGCTCATAGAAGTAGTTAACTTGCTCGAAGCCGACAAGTCCGGCACGGGTCCCTTTCTTAATGCTCTCCCTAGCTCAAACGATCTTCAATTCCGAGTCCATGCGTAAATGTTTAATTGATACAGGTGTTAAGCCACGATCCTCTACAGTCGCGAGACGAATGATACTGTTCGGAACGCTTCGTGTGCTAAATTTGAATATATGGCGACAGAAGAGAAGCGCGTCTAGGAATCCGGCAAGACCGCTGTAATAACCACTGTCGCTCCGAGATCGAAGAGGCCGAATAGTTCTTCTCGATAGAATCAACTCCTTTGGGGGTCTTTAGCTAAACCCATACCCAGGCGTCTCGTGGTACCCGTCGAGAAGTGTAGGACGTACGTATCCGAGCTAATAGATGTTAGCAACTCGACCTTGTGGTACATATTCGATCTTATACTCGCTCCGAGGTAGAGAGACTGCGTGTTACTATGATCTATTGAGTGAAATTGATACCGTCGATGAGTCTAAATAGTCAACTCTTATAGCAGGTCTTAACACCCACCCCTTGAGTTCGCTGTAGATTTGGGAGGGATTAAAGTGTCTTCCTCGAGTTAAAGATGGAAATTCGAAACTCCCCCTAGCTTCTATTCTGAGACATGCAGAGGCTAAAAGGTAGGTAGAATAGAGCCCATAACTACCTAGGTTATTCCTAGTCTCCTCGAATAGCTTCGGTGGCTACAATGGTGATAATGGAAAGCACATGTCTCCCTGTGACAAGACGCGAATATACCTAAAGACCAGATAAACCACACGAAGTAATACTTGATATATAGCACGACCGCGCTGTGTCTGCCCATTAACCATGTGGCAAAGCGCCTCAGCTCTCAGATTTAACCCGAGGTTTCGGCCGGACACCCGTTCTCAAGAAAATAGACCCGCTATAAAACACAAGACGCCGACGCTATACCGGCTCGGACGACGTCGTGCCTCGTCCCTTTTTATTCCTTTCTTATTCCTTTCTTGAGCGGTTAACGGATTGGTCTAATATACGTCCGATAACGAGTACTACTGTTGCATATAAAGAAACAAGAATTTATTAGCACACTAAGTTTCACACAAAATACTTACCATATTAGGGGAAATTGCTATATAGTAGACACTTCTATTGGTTTGCGGACCGAGCCCAGTTTTACGCGCTTCCCGAATAGAAGCGTAGTGCCTTGTGGCACATGGCGAAGCACATCCAGTCAGTGCTGTTAGTCTTGGAGGTTGAAGCAATTTTCCTATTCGTAGGTAGGTAGCCAATGCAAGCTCCAAGCGTAGCGTTGTGAGGTCTTACCTGTCTCCTTTCTACTGCACAATTCCAAGTTTTCCATGTGGTTGTGTGTCCACGAGTGACTTCAAGACAGCATTTATATACCACGTTACCTTCAATCTTCGAGTTTCGCCCTTGTCAGGCGAGAATCGCTTCACAAAGTGGCTGCTCGCCAGTCCGATGGCCCTTGCGCGCAACCACTCATCGACTCTTAACTCTTTTCTGATAATTCAATTCAATCAATCTACCTAACCTAGGAAGTATTGTTACCATTATTAAAACTAACCTGTATGAAGGCGTTATCGAATGTCATTTAGAAACGTCTTCAAGGAAGTTATAGAATTAAAAGGCGAGTTTGGTATAAAACCTCGGAACACTACGACGAGCATTGCTGTTACCTACTACCGGAATAATCTAGAAAGCAACATAGCAATCTTACGGAAGCAAGCAGTGACAACCTTAATGCTTATTTCGGCGTCCTGGACTCAAACAAGTTGACAGGATACCAAGATCAGGAGGGATAGATATATTATAAGATGGAGTTACGATGCGGGGATACTCGCCCGGATGAGGAAGGTTGATAATAATAGATGCGAGTGGTAGCCGTGCGTGCCACCAAGCAGCTGTGTCTTAGACATACGTTTGGTCAGTTTCTTGCTTTCAAACCACTTGAGAGCTACATTGCACGCTTGTGATAGATACTCCTGAAAAAGGTAGATAAAGCCGTGTTCTTGGCGTTTAGATGTTACCTGTCTAACAATAATTTTACTGTTTTTAATTTTTGAACATAATTCCTTTTCGTATACTGGTTCCAGTCGGTCTATTCATCATGTGCGGCACGGTTACCTTGTGGCCAAGCTTGGCAGTTTGACCTAAATCCCATTACAATGCTGCTTCTTTTTCCCGACAGTAGGTTGACAAGGGTAGTTGGTTGAATCAGTCATGTCGTGGGGTTTTCTTGAGTCCTTGACACGTCCCGTGAAGTCTTGAATGGCAGTGAGCTGCAACTCTATAAATATAAGGATGGCGTCTTCCTCGATTTGTATGGGACGATTAGATCATCAAGCCTCTTCTACATCGACATAACTAAACTCACTCCGCAACGATGGTATTTCGTTCTTCTATACCCTTGGCTGCGGCCCTTCTGCTTCTGTCCCATGGGACTACTGCAACGCCTGTTCCAGAGCTCAAGACAAAAGCATTTACCCAACCTATCGGTATCCCAGAATTCCAGGCTACGAGCGTCTTTGATGGTCCGATTCCGGAAATCATCACCCTTACACAAGCCGATCTTAACCATAACGTTACTGAGGTACCGGCACACGTGCCTGATCATGTACAAGTAGTAGATGATTCTGAGATTGACAAACGCTTCGTCTTTGGGGCCGACAACCGTGTTCTATGGACAGATAAGTCTTACCCATATTCGGCCATGGGAAAGATCCAGTGGTCGAATGGCGTTTACTGCTCGGGCGCCCTGATCGGACCGCGTCACGTAGCTACTGCTAAGCACTGCGCGCCTCTCGACAACCCAGGCGTAAGCGTGCGCTTCATGCCGGCATATTACGACGGCGAGTCATTCCCCGGCGCGTATGTCACAACGATCATCTATCTCCCCGGATACTCGGTGCACAACCCGGACGCGAATGCTTGCGACATCAAGGAGGACTGGGCTATCTTCATTCTCGACGCTCGTCTCGGAGACCAGCGCGGAGGCCTTGGAGCCAAGGTCATTGAGTCATCGCTCATTAACAACCCCCAACTCTTTCACCTCGGGTACCCGGGTGACTTGGCAAACGGCGAGAGACCGTATCGACAGGAGAAGATCACGGTCCGAAACAGGTTTGACTGTGATGCAACCGGTGGCCTCTCTACTGATGCTGATGTCGCTGGCGGTATGAGCGGCGGTCCTATCGTAAGTCCTCATTAGCCCCTATTTTACCCATTAACCCCTTTAAACCTCCTATTATCCGATTGTATCATGCCGCCCCTAAGCGCATCTAAGTATCACACCATATATGATATAATAAATGCTAACTCAAGGCGATATAGTGGCAAAACGACAACGGGTCTCGCTACCAACTCGGTGTTCTAAGCGCTACCAGCTCCACAGAGACTGTCTTCGCTGGCGGCAGCAACTGGATCAGCGCCGTTGCCCGTTCCCGCCAAGATTTCCCTTGATTCATTCGAGTTTTATCGAAGCTATTGTATTGTATCGCGCAGCTCTATATGGGGGATGATTTGAGGGGGGTTCTTGTATATATTCCAAGTCTGTCCATAAGTTAGTTCAGTATATATAACAGGTCACTAAGTTAGGTACCCAACCTTACCACTTATACTCAAGTACCCAAAAAGGGGTAAAACCGCGACGCTCTTATCTATTTGTAGTTATTCGATGAGATACGATCTTTCCTAATTCTACTTACCCAGTATAAACCTAAACGTTACTTTACCCTATGTTTCGTTCTAATATGTGAGTTGACAGGGTGATCAAGCAGTCGTTGTGAATATATATTATTATTAAGCCGGATTACCCGGCTTCTGCCCATATATATACGTCCTAGTACCGGTAAGCAACAACACTCGGACGACCTTTACTCATACACGAATAAAAAACTTACACAGTTATATACGCATGAACACTAGTGCCCATAAGATCCTTCTTAACTTCCTCGACGAATTCCCGAACTTGGTCAGGCGACAAGCCCAACACTCCTAGCACCTTAAAGCTTATGCCCTCGAGACCAGTGAGTAAGTCCTCCTGAAAGTATGTAGCGACGGTCTTATAGTACCGTCCCTTTGCCCAGGGGCTAGTAGGCCAGTAGAACCGTTTCTCGACGATGTTCTCGAAGCCGGCTTCCTCGAAGTAGCGATGATAGTTCCGAGCATTAGACCAGGAACGGCCAAGGCGTGATACACCCTCGAGCATCATCTGGTTCCACCGGTACAGTGCAGACTCCGTTGGCGGGTCGCCCACGTAGTTCATCGGGAATAAGGCGTCTTGGAATTCCATAATGCCGCCCGGTGCTAGGTGCTCGAACCCCTGCTTCACTACGGCCGCCGGGTCGTTGAAACAACTCATCAGCGCCCGTCCGTGGATATAGTTAAACGGTTCGCTAAATGTCCATTCGTCCTCTGCGTCATCAATCTCGAATTTGCAGTTCTGGGGTAGGCTAAGTAGAGGATACGATCAGCAAGCCTCCTAGCTCGTCTAACTTAATACTTGATAATAGGACGCCAGGTGCACGCACAATTGAGGTTGGATCGGACTCAAATCTGTCCCGATAACGTAGGATTCGGGATGCTGGAAGGCTGCGCGGTGAGTTAATATCTTAGAGTCATAGTAATTACCTAACGGTGAATCAAACCAAATTCTATCGCCCATATGCCCGTCCCTAATATCACATTAGAAAATGAATAAAAGGGGTAGGGGGGTAGATGAACCTGTCGCAATATCCAAGACCCGCGGGGGGTTGTCTGGTATCGGGGCTAGATTGAGCTTGTTTTCAATAGTTATTATAAACAATTGGTGTTGAAGGTCTATACCAATTGTAAGTCGTTGAACATGAAAAGGATATACTTAGGTATCCAGTAAGTGACTATGATATTTACTTAATCGCTCTTGTTCTGCCTATAAAAATCATTAATCAACTATAGCGCTGAATTCTTGAATGCGACTCAAGACATACGGCGTCATTCGGTAAGAAATATCCTATAGGATGGTGTCAACAGGTAATTCAAAGTCCATAGAGGTAGAGTAATCCATACTGCCTTCTTTATATCGATGGTAAGTCCGACCATTTTCATGGACGTAATGATAAAGACTTGAATCCAGCGACATGGTCGAAGACCTTTAAAACAGTTAGTAATTCTTTAGTCTATATCAATTATGAGTCCTCTGCTATGTTATACCGTATACTTTCCGTTGAAACTGACATTTCTTCCTATCCATAGGCTGTTAATGGGTTGGACTCTAAGTCTCCTGTCTCAATGGATACTGACTATCTGAGTGTCATCGTCAATTGATGGTAAAGATGGCCCGCTGCTGCTATCCCACGATAGCACCGATACATCTTGATCAACTGCGATGGTTCGACTAGATTCCCACGAGAACGATGCCGCTGAGCCATCATCACGGCCTACATCTGACGAAGGGCCTGCCATGACGTTTTCTTTGAGTCGAAAGGCTGTTGAGGTCGCGTTAGGACTACACGAGCGAACGTAGTTCTAGAAAATTGTTTAGGTAAGGGTAAAAGTGAAGTACAAGATTGGTTGGCTATTTGAATACCGAGCGACTTAGACATAATTGCCAGGAGGCAAGTTGGCCATAAATGTGCGAGACAGGCGCTAGGAAGCATGGTCAGCAATGGCTTGCGACGGAGAATTTCCATTGACCAGTCATCTTGTCAGGACACGCTTTTCGCGGCGGCATATCTTAGTACGAGCGGCTGGGCTTGTACTTCGTATGTACGTACCATCATATATTCGGTCGCGCAGCACAAGGTAACATTGCACTATCTGTTTACCACTACAAGGTCGCAATAAGTTGTTCCTACGGTTAAAAGCAAACCCATATACCGATGATCGATCTTACGACAGGTTCTTCGGAGATGATTCTCTCTGAATGGATAATGTACCACGTGTGACAGCTTATGAGTTTAATACTTCTTATGTTGGACTATTGCATGGCCGAACTGGACCGTAATCAGTACATGTATACTTCTGAAGCAAAAGTTCCCGAGAGAAATAGTTAAATATTAGCTCTAACCCATCTAAGGATGCTTTTTCTTCTCCTGTATAGGCAAGTCGGGGTCTTGTTGTGAGGGGAAACAAGGTCGTTTTAGCTCGATCTATAGTAATAATGAGATCGATCCTACCGGGATAGATCTTGGCCATCTCCAGTTCAGGGTTGGCATGAATAAAGCTTAAGATGGCTACGAATGTAAACGGAGATCCGAATCGAAGAGCGCCACAGTCGGGCATTACAATAGGCCCGCCTCGGTTGTCGTCATGGAACTGTCATATACTGAGCAATATCAATAAGTGCAACATTCAATCATGGAAAATTCGAGTATCACCGCATCAAAGGTTCTCTAGAAACGACATTGAATCACAAAAGTCAATACTCACATTGGCTCTCTCGGGAATGTCTCATATTAAAGTATATTGGCCGCGGCAGGGTGACCCAAACCGTCGAATCGACTACGTTTTCCGCAACCCATGTAGGACGGCAGAGTGCGTCGGGGGTTACCTACACCTATGGAGCGCAATGATGCAAGATGCGACAGTAACCCAAGGACGTAAGTGACGCAGTTGTACAGAGCACGAGACTTGCGGTTGAACTGCCGGAATAGGCAGCGTCAGTTACATCCCATCTACTTCATAAATCAGTATCCTTTCTACACCTACTGGAAGTAGGTAGGTATGCATCCCATCCGGCCGTATTTCCGTATCCGAAAATGCTATGGCAAAAACGCCCTTCGTGTCCTTATGATATCGTAATTTCATGAGCTCCTATTGCCGTCTAAGTATACTCTTAACTGAATGTGGGCTAACTATGTGTTGGTTTCGTCCCAGTCCGACCAGCGCTTGATAACCTCATCCACCATTGAGATTCCATGCTTGTTGGCATCGATCTCGAACCACTCCTTGTGGGCTTTCCCGCAAGCGTCACAGTTCGCCTTGTCGCTTACTCGAAGACCGGCACCTGCGAGTTCGAGATGGACTAAACGCTCGACTTTGTGACTATGGGGCATCTTCCGAGGCTCCGCTGGCTGGGACGAAGAGACGTAAGGATAGTAACGGATGAGCGATATGTTATAACCGCACTGGCGTGTCCATTCGTTGAGACGTCGTTGAACATTAGACGCCCGACCGATTTTCAGAAGTATTTTCTTGGACGATCCAGTAGTCTTGCTATCCTTAACAGCGAAAGACTCCATCACGTCGCTTGTTCGTCGTTGACGACCGCCGTCTGGGCGGGGCGGAGATAAGAGGGATTTAGCTGCCTCTGCCGGAGGGGTTGACGGTTGAGATTCCGGTGTTAGCCAGAAAATATAGATATAACCGGCTTCATCTTGCTGCGAGATGGGTTTGGCTAGTTCTGCCATGAGCTGCGAGGCCGTTTGCGGTGATGCCGTCGCCGGGATCAAGGATAAGTATTGTGCCGTTTGTGATGTATCGGACTGGTTCGAGTGCGGTCTTAAAGAATCGCCACTTGGTCGTGACTGCGCAGGAGGAGGTACGAGATGCTGGTTGGGCGGTGGCCTAGAATACATGGGTTTCGCAGGTGCACTTTGTAGCGGCCTGGGTTGTGGTCGTGCTGGAAGCTCCTCCTCTACTTCTTCGGTGATTGTGAAACAGCAGCAGAGGCTCGATTGCTTCGTCTTCGGTCTTCTTGGTGGATGTGTACCTATCTTCTCGCCGTAGTGGTTATTTGTTGGTCTTTTCCCTTGCTTATGTGCCTCGACTATTCCAAGACGATCAATAAGACTCTCCAAGCTTTGACGGGATTCGAGGATGGGTGTAATATTCGACCTCGGTCCCGGACTGGATTTTGAAGATGAGATTGCTTGATCTTTATGTTGCCAGCAGTAAAGGTCGGCATTTCGAGGGTCGTCAACACGCAGTCTATCGATTTTAGGCGGAGGAGGTAGCGGCGACGAGCCCGGAGAAGAGTTCAATGGCCGTCGACAAGGACGACCACCTGAAGTGATGCCTCGGCATGTCGTGTCTGGATTCTTGGAATCGGAGCGGCCCAACCGGGACTCGGGGGTATTTGGAATGAATGGCATTGTTCTTAAACTACTTAACTAGCGCACCTAGTATGAATTGTATCCCGTATTTAACTTAAAGGAGGGTAGGGTCTGCTGAGATAAAGAGCGTAGGGTTGAAAATGAAACAAGAGAACTAGACAAACATGTTCTTAGCAGACGCTGGATACTGGATCAATGCTTTATGAACCAGTTTTTCAACATAACCAAGCCTCCATATTCATAGACAACGAGCGAGTCTGGGCCAAAAATGGGTCGCGAGTTCAGTGACACGACATTATACATTAGGCCATGAGACACGTCGAAATAATTGGAGGAGGTTGGGATGATTGGTTAACAGTTGTTAGGGCTCGAACACTTGCTGACTTGTAAAGGTCAAGACCCAACGGGACTGCGGGAGGACTCAGTAGCGTGGCTGAATTAGGGCTGAGTCGTGGCTAAAGTCAGGGGGGGACCAGGGGGGACCAGGGGGGGACCAGGGGGGGACCAGGGGGGGCAGGGGGGTTCTAAGTGCTCAGACATCCACGACTGCAAACTGTACCGTGTAACATTATTATTCACTACGAGGTAGTTATTCACTATCGAAACTCTTACATATTATACGACGCAAGAACCAATCCATAGTTTTCATGACTAACATGTTGCTGTCATTATTTTTCAATAGTTTCATTGTGCATATTTCTACTAGATAGGACGAAACTGGGGTGTACTAAAGTAGAAGGCCCATATACCGAGGCATGCGAGGGCCGAGGTCTCTTTATTGACATTAGAGCTAGATATACACGAACTTATATATATTTACAACCAAAGCTTACCTGTACCGAATCAATTCCAAGTGCATATATCTCAATGTCGATTACTGATGAGTTGAGAACATGCTGATTAACTCTCCATACCTCCTCGGCTACCCGGTTCATCCGATCTACGAGTAACTATCAAACCCTCGGATACGACAGAGTCCGCTAACTATTTTGTTGCTTGGGCTATACTTTACGGAAATTGATTTACTTTCATATTCAACTCTTGTTCTGTCACATATGCACCTCGTACCTATATGTCTATGTAATGTCCTGACAAATCGTTATTCTCTTCGAACCTTCTCCCAGATGGTAAAGAGCGATATGTAAGTGATATGTAAGTCAGGAGGTTTTGACGGCTATTATTATATCTACAATTTTACCATGCCTGAGTTGAAAAGGGCTATCCTTCTATTTCATCCCCACATGAATCCCTTATATCTAAATGCTTCAGCGAATGTTATAAAACGGATTTAATGCCTATATATAAATTAATAAGGTATCAATACCACTAATCGACCAGTCCAGGGCATCTCTTACGCCTCTCCTTTCTCGGGTTGCTTCTTCTTCCTCACGTCAATCCAGCCCATACCCCACGATGCCACGAAGCTCAAAGACGCGCAAGCGATCAGCAAGTAAGCAGTCGTGTCGAAGGCCTTAGAAAAGGCCATGAGCACTCCGCGGAGCTCCGGACTGTCCGGTGGGGCTAAGGCTCGTACCGCTTCCGCACTACCACCCGCAGCCAAGGCCATGGCCGGGTCGATGGAGGGCGCAAGTATGGTGATCTGTTTCTGCAACGTCTGTTGGAAGATGGTGTTCGCAACTACGGAAAAGACCGCCGCAGAAAAGTTTTGGCAGAATATAAGGAATGCAACGCCCAACGCACTCTGCGCGGGTGGAAGGTTGTTCTGAAGGGCTACCAACCCGATCTGTATGCCGCAGCCACGAGCTCCGTACAAGATTTGAGTGCCAATCCAGAACGCCGTCGTAGTGTCAGGGCCCCACATTGATATCATGCCAGCAGCAACCGCAGTAGCTGCTCCAGCAAATGCTCCCCATGGGAGGTAATATCCGAGTCTCCCCACTGTCTGATGTTAGCAATAATCTCAAAGGGGGTTTATGGTTTATGGTTTATCCTCAAACGGGCAGCAAGATAAAAGAAAGAAGAACATACACAATGCCCCAGAAACAAGGATGAATACCACACTCGACAAGATACTCGGCAGCATATTGACACCGCTCATTGTCGGCCCTACGCCCTTAACGGACTGGAAATAGATCGGGAAGAACTGAGCCCCGACGAAGATACTCGTCATCAAAGCAGCGCCATATAAGGCGCTAACCCAAACGATTCGCCTGCCTACCATTGAAAAGGGAAGCATAGCCTCGTCGCCCTGGCGGCGTTCCCACCATAGGAAAATGGGGAAAGTTACGCCCGCACCAACAAAGAGGCCGATCACAGTTGACGAGTTCCAGGGGTACTGGGATGAACCGAATTGCAAAGCCAGTAATAACATGACGGCGGACGGGGCAAAGATGGCGAAGCCGATAAGGTCGAGTTGCGGGATGACTTCGCGGAGCAGCTTGAATGAGATTTGCGGCTTAACTGTTTGGTCGGGTACATGCATGAAAGCCAGGAAGATCCCAGCGAGGCCACCGAGCGGCAAGTTGATATAGAAGCACCATCGCCAGGTCACATACTGCGTAAAGACACCTCCGATTAACGGTCCAGCAATAAGACCGATCTGACCAACTATCAAGACGTTAGTTGGTTAACAATTTCAACACGTGAGGTGACACTTACAAGCCATCATATAAGCCACATACATCGGCTGCTTATCCAAAGGCGCGGCACCAGCAATAACAGTCAATGAGCCGTTCTGGAGTCCCGAACTACCCACACCGGCAACAGCTCGGCCAATGATGAACATGACCGACGATTGGGAGACGGCGCATATCAGGGAACCAACTTCGAAGATGAAAAAGAAGAATAGGAACACCCATTTTGCGCTGACACGGGTATACAGCTTTCCTGTCAGGGGCTGGAGCGTGGCACTAGATGAACACTAGGTAAGCTACCATACTCATCGTATGAATTTTATCCGCTACGTGAACAGACAGTCGCCATACCAAAGGAAAAAGAGGTCGGGACAGCATACCCAGCTAACTGGTAAGCACCGCTATACCATCCAATATCCGGTAAGCTATGGAAATCCGACGTGATCTGCGGTACAGCCTATCATCGAATGAAATATTAGTTTCGAAGTCTCAACAACACCCTCCTCATACCGGAACCAGCCACAACTCACCGTACTAATAATCGACATGTCCAACATGAGCAAGAAGAAAAAGGTCGTGACGCTAAACAACAGGAGTGCGAGCTTGTACCCCGTGACGTACTCCTCGTTCTCGGCTCCGTCTATCAGCGTGTGCTCCGACGTCAGGGAGTCCGTCGTTACCGCCGCATCTGGGTTCTTCTCATCTAGCGCTGCTAGTACTGACGCATCGGCATTCGGTGCATTGCCCTTTTCTCTCTCCTGGAACGACAGCGACGAAGATGTCGTGTATCCTTCCTCGCCAGGTGCCGGCGCTTTAGGGGCTGGCCAGTTATTGGTGTCCCCCATGATACTTCTCCGAGCGTTCTTTCGTCCAGGCGACTTCAGGGGTTCCAACAGCTAGGGTTATCGTCGATCCGTCCGGTATTCTTTATCTATCCCAATTCTCAAACGCTCTTCCTAGCAAACCGTCTATACGAAAGTAAGTATACGTCGTGACTGGATTCAAGTGCCAATGGAAGTCGTCTCGCTAGTATACGATGCAAAACGACACAACAGCCGCATTCGCTTGCGCTTCGCTCTACATATCGTAAAAGCTTAACCCTAGACCCAGTCGAAGGCCAAGATGCGTGCAACAAGAAGCCAACAGCAAAAGAGAAAGTCAGCCCAAGAGCTAGATAGAAGTAAGATTATCTAGGTCCAACTACTCTGATATATATAAATAGAAGTCCTATGCTATACTATACATGTGCGTGCGTGCGCCACCCCCCCTTTGTGCAATTGCTTAATTCCTACCCCTACCCTATCCAATCCAAGGCCTACGGGCCCTAACGAACCTACGAATACCGGCGCAATTAATCGACCCGGAAAGCCAACCGAAGGAAACGTACAAGCGTGCTGGACTTTTGCCGTGCGAGGCGTCGCTTACAGGCACAGCTCATCTAACCCGGGGTGGAATGGAAGCGGGTTCTGAACCCGCGCCGAATCCCGTTCCATTCTGACTCGTCACTCAACACGCGGGAAATGGGATGGGATTGGCCTGAACTACGGGCGATGACAGGGTTTCGTTTCACGCACTCCTGCGCAAGTCATCTATACCTATACAAAAACACAGCACATCGCCCGCGCGGGTCTCAGTTCAAAAGTTAGTTAAGTTTACGTGTGTGGGATTCGAGAAGCCGTGAAGAACGGACGGCTGCCAATAATTAAACCTGTTAACCCGGCAGGTTGTTATTTGCCTGCAAGTTACCTAAGGCAGGACGAATCTAGATAGGCTTTAGACCCTCATACAGGAATGCAAGCTAGACCACAGGCTTGGCTTACTACTATATAGGAGGTACATATAGCACATTTATAGCAAACGGGTTAGCGTCACGAGATGAATGGTACAATTGGTAGGCAGTGTTCTTTCTAAGCATAACATAACCATTAACCTCCCTAGGTTAGACCTATAAACGTTCCGTGAATAAGTAGGATCAACCTCGCCCTTTCAAATATCTCACAAGTGAAGTGTTAAAATTCTATGTTCCCCGCCTTTCCAAAAATCCAACCCGGGCGCCAAACTTGGTTATGCTATGCTATGCTATGCTATGCTATGCCAATGACATGACGGCTACGCGGTAGCAGTGCAGACTAATCCAGATATGAAGGCAGAAGATACGGCATAGTTAACTCCCTTCCCAAGACCGCAACATGTCCGATAACCACGGGTCGTCTAACCACTCTAACGACGTCAATTCTGGAAGGACTTGCGCCTGGACTTGATACGGCGTTGCAGCACCAGCTCCCGTCCCAGTCCCTTCTGAAACCGCCGTGCCAACGCTCACTCCGAGGCTGATCTGTTCAAGCGTGGAGCTCCAAGCCGGAATAGTACTTCGGAGCGCAATGCCGGCCCGACAATAGTAATCCATGTTATCTGGGTCGTCACTATTCTCCAGACCACATACGCTAGATACCTGCGTAAAGTTATTTGCGGCCTGTTCCAGAGCTGCCATCATGTCGATAGTATTCTTGACGATGCTGCGGTCCCATTCTGGGTCGTCTACTACCATAAGCCGGTAGAGGGTTTGCGCCGCCCTACCAAAATGGAGTGTGACCGAGAAAGATATGGCAGGGTATTCAATTAATTCAAAGCTTAGGAAATTTTCGAGGGAAGCCTTGCTCGCTTGGAGACTACCATAGTATGCGTCTATCTTGCCTAGATCAATACCTCCGCTCCCGCTTCCACTCACACCCGTTGGCCTATGTGGGTGCGTTGAAAGCCACGCGTTCACGTTCCAGAGAGACATATCCGCTATAGATAGCTCTGCCGCATACAAATGTGAATTGACCACTTCTATTGCGCTGTCAGTCTAGGAAATACTCAAGGTGGCAACGTAGTCGAGATTGCAAGCTCATTTAAGAGTACAAACGCTCAAAACAGCCAATGCGGTAGAGGGTGCCGTTAGAGGTATCTAGGGAATAGCTTACTATTGTCTAAGAGCGTAGGCGGAAGATCCTTCTTAATCGCATCCAGATTTGCGCGCAAGGCTTTGACGTAAATAGCAGGAGGAGCCCTTATTGCTGTCGAATTTCCAGCAGGTTCCGCAGTACGCCAGGTTATTTGCGCAACATCCTCTTGTATTTTATACGTTCTTACCATCGCTACAAGAGCTTCGTCGCCTACACATTCCGGATTTGCAGAGAGCTTCTGAAGAGAATCCTCCATGTGAGCGGTCCACCGCATTGTTTGGGTTCTCAAAAAATTTGAAATACTAAATTAGGTACGTTAATGGTTTAGTCCACACTATGACTTACACCACGACCGTTGCGTATTGGTTACATACGGTGTCAAGTGGGTGAACATACCTGGAGCAAAGAGTAAAGCATGCTAAGGTAGCCCTTCTCTCTTCATTTGTGCGGGTAGACGAGATAGGTATCTTTGGATAAGGATAAGAAGGCTTGAAGCAATGAAGATCTTTATAAAAGTTATCTTGGGCTGGCTTATCAAGACGAAGATCTGTAACAATAGTGACAGCAAGGTTGGTATATGCAACAATATATGGTTTTCCACTGAAATGATGCATGCCCCTAGAGGAGACGTTAGACAAGCACAGATAGCTAGAAACATCGTGGCAAGGTATGTAGAAGGATATCCTATGTTCAAAGTGGTATGGAGGAAGAGAAGCTGGATTACATACCAACCTAGATAAGCAAGAAGCCCGAGTAACAAATCCATATTTCGATCTAGGTCTATCAACATCTTCTGTGCTAGATATTCTCTAATCTTTTGGCCCAGCGCTGACTTTCTTGGCCGTGATTTACAGCAAATAGTCATTATGTTTAGCCATAGGAAAGGTTTCGCCTGCTGCAATTGCGCAGCCCTAAAACGTTGGGATTAGTTGTATTCAATGGGTACCGTGAATAAATAATCATGGACGTGTAATAGTCTGTGATTACCTAAAGGATCTAGACAATCACGGGGTCGGAAAATGGGGGTGGCGATACTAACGTCGTGTCTGGTGGTATATACACAAACGGGAAGAAGGGGAGAAACTGGTCTTTAAACATCCGTAAGGTGTCTTCAGCCTCAGCAGGCGAGAGACCTCCATCATGAGAAGAGGTGACAGAAGGCGGAGTGGGATACGCAGTTGCAGAAGGATATCTGTCGCAATACGAAGAAGCATCAACGGGTGACGGCAGTGGTAGCGCATGGCTAGTAGCAGCCAAATCGTTACCACCCTGCACAACCCCTATAGACGGGTCCAAGTCCATGGGACCGGCATTGGTATTGGCATCGACGCTAGGGCTTGCGCTAGGCAGTTCGCCGTTGGTGACAGGCCTATAAGAGGTACCCACCGCCACCGCCGGGGGGTTAACAGCAGCCTGGGCCCGGAGTATCGAAACTAAATCGTCGAGCTTCTCTTCAAGATGAGCAGCCCTTTCGGAGGCGGGACGCCTTGCCGCACGTTTCCGAACGCTGACAGACGGAACACATTCTTTACCTAGGCGCTGGCACCGCTCGCAAGTTGAACCGGGGCTGCCGCGGCTGATACACTTGCACTTGGCCTTAGAACAATTGGTACATGCTTGGCCATAGGGAACCGATTTGCGAGGGCTGGATAATAAAGCCACAGCTTCTCTCGAGCCAGTTGAGGCAAGATCCATCTGGGCATGTATGCCAAGTGTAACGTTAGCGGTTATCGAGTATTCCGTATACAAGAAGCCGATCGGAAGCGGTGGAGATGCAGGCGTTCCGGAATAGACGAAAAACGATTTCCGTCGACGGGTTTCAGGAATAGCGTATTAAAAGTAGTTTGTCTAGGCAATATACGGAGTATAAAGCAAGAGGTCGCAACAACCGCGAAGTTCAAAATGAAATGGGGGAGAAAGAAGAACGGCGTTAGGATTTCGAAAATTCCTAATTCCGTTTAATGATGAGGCTTAGCTAAGGCTGGAAGCTGTACGTAATTTCAACTTACTGGGTGCCACATATTAGGTAATCCATAAATGTAGCATGAAAGACCTACCGTTAACATGACTTATTAATCCCGTCCGTACCGAGATACCTTAGTAACTAACCCCTTTTCTTTCCATCTTCAACATCCTTTATTCCGTCGAGGTAGCTAAAGTAAGCATAAAGTAAAGATATTACGGTGTTAAGCACGCATTATCAAAGTCAAGATAGCTAAGCAAAGTAGAGTAGAACTCTCAAATCATTTGCGCTTTATGTACGCTCGTAAAACGTCAATAAGACTCCTTACCTGTAGATTCATAAAACAGATATATCATAGATTAGGTAGTCACGTCACATAGCCAAATATGCAGTCCAAAATAATATGCAAAGTGGAAGAAAAATGCCTATCATTGCCTAATCCAATCTACTCGGCCTGGGTGGATGCAGTAGAAAACCCATCGCTGCATAATCTCGACATCGCTTGATTGCAGTGGGAGCTGTACTAAAGCACTCATGACCATCCTGTCAAGGCCCAGGGCTCATCGGATCCCCGACACTACCAGTTCCGATACTACCGCTGCTGAGGCTACCCGTACCATCGCTCGTTGCCTCGCCATTAACATTGCTTCGAGGTCCAGTGGGCGTAGGGTATTCAAGGCCCGGAGACGCACCGGAATTCCCGATACTTCCTCGGACTGTGCTTTGTCCTTCGTTCTCGGCTGTACTGCTTTGTGTGAAACCAGATACATCGCTGAGCATTGACGAGGAACGACCTCGCGCCTTTGTCATGGGCAGTTGGGCATTCGGCGCAGCAGTCCCCTGCGGCATGAAGCCCGACGCAAGGGGCGATGGACCCCAAAGGGATGAATTATACAGGCTGTTGTTCCAGGCAGCCGTAGCATCGTACGGAGCC